GGGGAGAGGAGAGGAGAGGAGAGGAGAGGAGAGGAGAGAGGAGAAGGCAAGCACTGCGTGGGAGAGGAGGATGCGGCTGCGCGGCGCGGAGAGCGGGCGCTGGAGCTCAGCGCAGCCGGGGAGCTGCTAATCCCTGCGCCTGCGGCCAGCTGCCTGCCGCGGCCTTGAGTGACGGGGGCTCAGCTAACGTGGGCAGAAACAGGAGCTCGCGGAGAAATTTTCGGAAGCCATACCTAAGGCGAGGAGAGCAAGCCTCTGAATACATGCAGATGGGAGCAGGGGCTGCCGAAAGCAAAGCAAACAAGGCAGGCGGGGGGAGGCCGCCGGTGCAGGAGCCGGCTTGCCAGGAGACACCCCGGCGGGGGCTCGGGCTGCACCCCATCCTGCTTCTGCCTAGGCAAGGGCCCCCCACCCCCTGAGCCATTAAGCTCAGACGCAGCAAGTACCTCTTGTCACAAGAGGGTGAGAATCTGGAGGAGGAGGTGAGGAAGCGTGGTGGATCACAGAGAACAGGACGCGAGCGGGACCCGATAAGCCGGCGCGTCCCATTCCGGCGCCCGCTGCGCCCCGCCCTTTTTTTAATTGAATTACAATTGACACACACTATTATGTTAGTTTCAGGAGCACAACGTAGCGATCCGATATTTTTATGTATTTCCAAATGATCACCAAGACCATCGTCACTATACAAAGTTATTGCAATTATCTTCCCTATATTCTCTATGCTTAACAGTAAAGCCCCGTGGCTTATTTTATAACTGGGAGTTTGTGCCTCTTAATCCCCTTCGTCTATTTCACCCATCCCCCGCCCCCACCGCCCTGTCCTCTGGCAACCACCAGCTTGTGGTCTGCGTCTATGCCTTTGAAGGGGAGTCGGTGGAAGGCTCCTCTCACCACACCCTGTGGATGGACAGGCCAGGGGGCTAGAGACCGGAGGACTACTCCCGGGGAGGGCTGGAGGCCCGACTCTGGGAAGGAAAAGCGTGCAGCTGGAGACATCAGCTAGGAACTGAGCCCCCCTTATCCAGGCCACCCTGCCCATCCAGGTCGAGGCGTTTGGCCCAAGGGAAGAAGTTGAGCAGGCAGGCCCCGCATTCTGATCCCAACCCTGCCACTTGCTAATTGTGACCTTGGGCAAGCTACTTGACCACTCTGGGGTTCAGTGTCTTATTATTTGTAAACCGGGGAGAAGATTATTACCCCTCCCACAGGGTACTGAAGAAGCAGAGAAAGAAAGAGAAAAAAGAGAGACTTAAGATGATGGTGTATACGAAGTGTATAGGGCCTGGGAAAATTTAAGTTCTCAATACATCTTAGTTATTATTAGAACATTAATTAATGTGTTAGTTGTGTGCAGAGCCTTAGACCAGGTGCTGAGCCTTAAGAGCCGCAGAGGCTCCTAGATTCCATCTCCTTCCACCATCTCCAACCCGCCCCCCCCATCTCGCCTTCCTGCCCCCACCAGTGCCGGAACTAAAATTCTATCTTGCCTTGGAGTGTCTCCAGCTGTTTGCTCATTTTCCACCAGCCTGCTGTGGGCCCCCCACACACATTCCTGTGGGGCACACCTTCACTTGGAGAGTGAAACACGCACACCCGACCCACCCAAGACCCCCATCTTCCAAGTCACTTGGCAGATCAGAGGGAAGTGGAGGGGTTTTAGAGGGGGGGAGTCTTAAGTCGCAGACAGATACCCAGAGAGAGCCGAGAAAGGACACCGAGCCCTGCTTGCGAGGCCTTTCGGGGTGCTGGAGGCAGCCAGCAAATAGCAAATGTTTAAGGTTGTGTTGTTGTTGTTGTTGTTTCATCCAGCATCTGCAGTTGCTGGGTGTAACCCTAGCCTCCTTCCTCTGTGAAATGTGTGAATGTGCTATCCTCAAGCATTCCACATATTGATTCTCTCACATTTCACTGACTTGATCCCTCTCTGCCCCCATTAACCCCGCATAATGGGCACTTGCTCTTTCAAATCCAGGTCGACCCCCCACGGATGGCCAAGTGTTATAATGGTTAACCAGCCAGCCCGCGCACTCTCTGTCTCTGCTCAGAACGTACTATTCTGGAGACGAAAATGTGGGGCGTAAGGAGGAAGCCAAGGATTATTTCTTTGAACCTTCGCGTGTTTTGCCAGAGTCTAAATATGATGCTGCAGAATATGTCCAAATGTTCCTAAAATAGACCCAGCATTCCCAGAACTGGTTTCACTAGCCAGCTTGAAGTCACTCTCTGCCCAGAAGGTGGTGAGGAATTCTCACTTGATGGGGTGCTGAATAGTCAATCCTTCAAGATTAGGAAAGCTTCTTGATTTAGGCGACATTTGTTATGGAAAGATCTCGGCCCCCTTTGGGGAATCTCTCCCCTCACATGTCCTCCGCCGCTGCTCAGGCAGGTTACAGACGGGCCCACCCATGGTCAGCCTGGACCACTCTGTGCAACCATAGCTCTCCACATTCTCATTTCCTTTTCTCCAAGTTGCTCAAAGTGCTTCTTTTTAATAACTTACCATCAGCCACCTCTCTCCTCCTCATCAGCACCCACCACTCTGCCTTGAAATATGTATCGTTAAGTACGACTACGAAAGTTAAGCACGATTATTATTATTTTTTTTTAAGATTTTATTTATTTGACAGAGAGAGACACAGCGAGAGAGGGAACACAAGCAGGGGGAGTGAGAGAAGGAGAAGCAGGCTTCCCACGGAGCAGGGAGCCCGATGAGGGGCCCAATCCCAGGACCCTAGGATCATGACCTGAGCTGAAGGCAGACACTTAATGACTGAGCCACCCAGGTGCCCCAAACACAATTATTATAAATATGGAAAAGTTACAGGACCACAGTCTAACCATGAGAAACACACCAGTCACACCTAAATTGAAGGACACTGTATAAAATACCTGACGGGTACTCCTCAAAACTGTCAAAGCCATCAAAAACCGGGAAAACCTGAGAAACTGTCACAGCCCGGAGGAGCCAAAAGAGATATGATAACTAAGTATAATGCGGTTTCCTGGATGACATCTTGGAACAGAAAAACTAGTGGAAAAACTAGTGAAATCTGAATACAATGTGGACCCCAGTTAATAATAACGTGTCAATGTCGATTCATTAGTTGAGACAAATATACCATCGTGATATAAGAAGTTATCAGCAGGGGAAACTAGGTGTGCAGGTACACAAAAACCCTGTACTATCTTTGCAATTTTTCTGGAAATTTTAAAATATTCTAAAAGTCAAAGTTTATTTATATATTTTCAAAGCGACAAAAGGGGGGTGGGATGGTGATTGACTGAAATAGGCATAAGGGAACTTTCTGGGGTGATGATAACGTTCAGTGTCTCGCTAGACACTCGGGTGACACAGGTGTATCCATTTGTCATAACCTGTTGAATCGTGCACTTAAGATTTGTGCAATTCGGGCGCCTGGGTGGCTCAGTTGGTTGGGCGACTGCCTTCGGCTCAGGTCATGATCCTGGAGTCACAGGATCGAGTCCCGCATCGGGCTCCCTGCTTCTCCCTCTGACCCTCCCCCCTCTCATGCTCTCTCTCTCTCTTATTCTCTTTCTCAAATAAATAAATAAAATCTTTAAAAAGGAAAAAAATTAAAAAAAAAAAAAAACATAGGAAATTGCTGAGTTTATTTATCCTTCAAAAAAAAAAAAAACACAAAACAGAAGAATTTGTGTCACTCAAACTGTCCTAGACTTCTATAAAGCAACCCAAATATATTCTACACATAAGCTTTTACAAATGTGATGAAAGAATGCACAACAAAGAAAAAAAACTACAGACCGCTTTTACTTATGAATATAGATGCAAAAATGTTTTCATAAAATATCAGCAAATAGCTTCCAGCATAGTATTAAAAACATAATTCTGATGAAGCAGGGTATATTCGCGGAATGCAAACACGGTTAAATTAAGCCATCTATCCATATTAATTCATTGCATCCACAAATTAAAGGAGATGAATGTTATCTAACTAGCAAACGGGAACTAGGAAGTATGTGATACAACCCTGCGGGCATGGGTAATAATAAAACCTTTGAAAAAGAAACTTAGAAACAAACCACCTCGATCTGATAGACTGTTTAGCAAAATCCAATGCATACTATGAGGAATACTGTTAAGCGAAGTACATAAGGTCTATGATGCTCCAGGCCTGCTTGAGAGCCGCCTCCCGTCTCTCCCAGGGCTGAAACAAAAGAGTGAAGATAAACGAGAAATGTTGTGTCTGTTGTGGTCCTTGTGTGGAACTCCCCCTGCGTGGGGCTGTCCCTGAGTTGCCTCAGGCCTGCAAGGCTAGAACTCCGTATAAGATAAAGCAGACGTTGTTTTTCGCGGAGAAAGAATGTCCTTTTGGCTAGATAACTGGGAACAAATTGTTAGACCATTACCTTATTGCCACGCATACCATAAATTCCAGATGGATTAAAGATTTACATTTTCATACGGAAAAAAAAAAAAACCTAAGAAAACGAATTATTTCTAGAACCAGAGTGGGAGAGGCCTTTGTCAGCAAGCTAAGAAACTCAGAAGCCATAAAATGACAAATCATAATTTGAAACTTAAAAAAGGCTGACATAAAGGACAAGGCAATTTAAAACTTTCTGTGGAGCAAAAGACTCTGTAAAGATCCCACTGAGAGAAAATAGTTACAATTAAGTAAAACCCATGAGTAGCACCATACTGGAGAGAATTCATAAAATTTTCTATGAAAAAGACACCAACCCAAAGACTATGGCAAAAGTCGCTATGAGGCAAATCATAGAAGAGTGAAAATACAGATAATAAGCATCTGAGACATTTCCAACCTCATAGGTTGTCAAGGATATATAAAATATTCGAAGTGATGGGACAGGACCTTTTTTTTTTTTACCCTTCAGACTGGCACCATTTAACATATATTGATAATATTCAGTCCCGGCAAGAATCTGGGGAAACAGCAGTTCTTTTACACCCACCTCTAAGTAGAAGACTGAGTGGCTACAACCATTTTGGAAGGTCGTCTGGTAGTAACTACCAAAAATGTAAATACAAACCTTTGATCTGGCAAGTTCTCTTCTAGAAATGTATCCTAAGACGTTATTTTTACTAGTGAGCAGAGACTTCTGCCAGGGGATGTTTACTACAGTTGGCAGTGGCGAAATAAATAGAGGAAAACAATCTGAAGGTCCATCAGAAGGGTAAAAGTTGAGTAAGTTACGGGACGGCCAAGGCTGGAATACTGAGATTCTGGAAGAAAGCATAAATTATAGCTCTGTATTTGTTGGCCAGGGAAGTTGTTCATGATGTACTGTGTTTTTTTACGAGGTAGATTACTGTGCATAGTATGATGGTATTTTTATTCTAAATTAGGTGGGGGAGGGGGCCATATACCATATGCATATATACATATGCATATATGGGTAGAGCTCAGGGAGGATACGTCCACACTCATTACAGATACTAGTCCCAGATCTTCCTCTGAATTCTACTCAATGCAGTTCAAGAAATGTGTTTGCATAACAAGCTATAATGGAATATTTATACAGCAAATATGTGCCTTTGTCTCTCAAACCAAAATGCTTCACCTCTATCACAAGATTGCAATACCGTGGCTATCCTGATATATTTATGAAAGGGATATGTGGCAAGCCAGAAGTTTGCAAAAAACCAAGAACAATCTGCAGTTTAGGTGAAGTCTTCAAATCTGAAGAAAGCCCACATCAAAACTTAGACTAAGGGGTGCCTGGGTGGCTGAGTCGTTAAGCGTCTGCCTTCGGCTCAGGTCATGATCCCAGGGTCCTGGGATTGAGCCCCGCATCGGGCTCCCTGCTCCGTGGGAAGCCTGCTTCTCCCTCTCCCACTCCCCCTGCTCGTGTTCCCTCTCTTGCTGTCTCTCTCTGCCAAATAAAATCTTTAAAAAAAAAAAAAAACTTAAACTAAATTTGTGTGTGTGTGTGAGAAAGAGAGAGAGAGCACACATGTTAGTATACTCATGGAGAAAAGTGTGAATGGACAACAAACTATTAACACTGGTTGTACTCCAAAAATTACACAGGAAGGAGAAGCTTTTTTCCAAATAGATCTTTGAATTGATTGATAAGAAGCATGTGATCTAAAAAAAAAAAAAAAAAAGCACAGAGCAAAAAGCAACTGAGGAAGGTGAAAAAGGAAGAGAAAGCAGGACAGAAGCCAGCCAGAAAGAAGGGTTGGGACGAAAGAAAGGGAAGGGAAGGGAAAAGAAAAGGGGAAAGGGGAAAGGGAAAGGAAAGGGGAAAGGGAAAAGAAAAGGGGAAAGAGGAAAGGGGAAAGGGAAAGGAAGGGAAAGGGAAGGGGGAAAGGGAAAGGGGAAGGGAAGGGGGGAAGGGAAGGGAAGAGAAGAGAAAGAAGAGAAGAGAAGAGAGAGAAGAGAAGAGAAGAGAAAGAAGAGAAGAGAAGAGAAAGAAGAGAAGAGAAGAGAAGAGAAAGAAGAGAAGAGAAGGCAAGCACTGCGTGGGAGAGGAGAGGAGAGGAGGGAAGGGAAGGGAAGAAGAGAAGAGAAGAGAAGGCAAGCACTGCGTGGGAGAGGAGAGGAGAGGAGGGAAGGGAAGGGAAGGGAAGGGAAGGGAAGAGAAGAGAAGAAGAGA